GCCAAGAAACTTATAAAACAAATACTATTTGTAATATAAAAGTTTAGTTTTTTTCTCAGCCAATGTTTGTTTATATCGGAGGTAGTATGAAATAATGGGAATGACTTTGTAGAGTGAAAGAGTTATGTGACCTTGGGAATGTTAATTTGTCCAAGGATGCCTCAAAGTCTCGTCTATGACACGTGGATAAACCAAACACTTTATAGGGCGGTGGTGATGTGAAGCAGGCATCACAGCAAATTGGTTAAGGACAAGGACCACGGAGACAGTCTACATCCCATGAAAGTCTGAATCTTGTCAGTTTTTTTGACTACTGTATTTTCAGGATTTAGAATGATTCCCAGGACATAATACATGATCAATAAACCTCTGTTGAATAAATAGAATCAAAGAGCCCTGGCTATGTCTGACTTTTTGGCAAGTAGTTACTTCTGAAAGCCTCAGTTTCATAAAGTGAGGATTAAGTGAACGGAGTATAAATGCTTAACAGATGAACCATTGTTGTTAAGTTAACCTGAACACACCCTTAAAAAGGTGGGCGCTTGATATATAATAACTCATTTGAATTTACATATTCTCATTTGAATTTATAAGTGATATACTGCCTATTTCAAAGATAATGCTAATGAAGATGATGACATGAGTCAAAGAAACTACTGGTTTTACACAGTATTATACATTTAAAAGTCTCCTGAAAATTATGAAACATAAGACATTATTACTATTTTAAAGCATGTTTGGAAGAGTGTGTTCACTCAAAATTTAAAATTATGCTGCATAAAAATATTTTCTCAGCAATTCTCCTTTTCCAATTAAATGTCATTCTACAGGATAGAAGAAATCTGCTTTTATCAAAGGAAGCAGTTTGAGTAGTGTGGGAAACATAGTGGGCCCACTAGTTTACCAGGGTTGCTGAGGGCAGCAAAAAACCTTTGCCTCTTAAATGCAGAACCTCTAAACCTTCACCTCTTAAATGCGGAACTTCTAAAGGACGGAGTCATATAACTATTTTGCAAGATCAAATAAACCAATAAATATTTCAAAACATAATTGCATAATAAAAGACAAGTAAATGGAATTGCTTGTTACCTTAATTCAAAACCTATACTGTTTAATATATGTCTTTTAAAACTACATATTTCAAATCAATGTTCCAGTGTAGAGTTCCTTTATATTTAGAAATAACTATTCTATCTATCTATCTATCTATCTATCTATCTATCTATCTTACACACAGAACCAAAGGATCATTCTCCTTTGTTTCACTTATTTTCTGTTTTGTCATGATCTTCATTTCACAGGAGACAGACTTCAGCAAAGTCTAATGAAAGGGGGGGATCTGCCAGAGGAGACTTTCATTACTCTAAGCAGCTCCCACAATATCTGCACAAGAGAAAAGTTTTTACTGATGTCAGCACTTCTTCCCTCACAAATCTCTCTCATTTTTCTTCTCCTTTCTTTTCCCTCTGGTTTACCTTCCTCTTATGGTATTCTACCTTTCCTTTAAAAAACATTTTTTTACTTATTTTTTAATTGATAAAAATTATATGTACTATATTTTTGAAAATTGCTGAGAGTAGATTTTAAGTGTTCTTATCACAAAAAAAATGACAAGTATGTGAGGTAATGCGTATGTGAATGAGCTCAACTGAGCCATGCCACAATGTGAACCTATTTCTACTTTCCCTTTCTATCATACATGCTGGTACATAACTGCTTCAGGACTACCTCTGAGACATATGGTGGCTTTGTCCTTAAGACATGTCTTATTGCTCAACCATGCTCCCTCCCCAATCACTGTCTCCTGTTCTACAAGATCTGTTTGCAAGGGCCTTTCATAGTATGGAGTTTGTTAGTCCCATAAGGCTTCTTTGTCATAGAAGCAAAGGAACTCACAGATAAATGACAGTGGGTGGAAATGTTGATTTAAATGTAATTAGGAAAGGAAGGAACATTCCAGGGCAAAGAGTGAAAACAGACAGGAGAAAATCAGTGAACTAAAGAAAAAGGAAAGCACAGTAAACCATAGGCAGAGAGAGGGGAAACTGTAACGTTGTTGGTGAGATGGTACGGACATGAAGGACCAGACAAAAAGATGCTGATTCACTGCCCGCTCTGTGATACCTGAGTTCATCATACCAAATCTTGAGGTTCAAAGGTAATCTTTATGAAGGACAGATGAATCACAAACTGGGGGTAAGGCAGAGGGTGTCGGGGAGCAGGCGGGCGGGAATGCCTCCAGTCTATGGAGGAACTTAAAGCAGGTGTCATAGACTACCTCGATCCTGCCTCCTCTGTTAATCACTTTCCAGACAGTCACTTCCACCGTGACTCCAGGCTCCTTCTTTCACCTTATTCTCCCTCAGCATCAGCTCTTTCCCCACAGATGAAATTGTTTCCTTCACTTTGTTTTAATTTTCCACCTCCATCCATCTCTGCTCCTAATACTGTCCACCAGTCCTTCCCTCCAACATTAGGAAGATTAAAAAACAACAAACTCAAACAACAACAACAAATGCCGCTCCTTTGCTTGCCTTTCAAAGCACTAATGATCCAGAAACAAAAACTAAGCAGTCATTTCCTGGGATTTACTAACTAATACATACTTCTCTAGTAAGGTCAGGGGTTTCTTCACCATTCCTAATACACCTAGGGACTTTGTCTTTGTAATGACAGCTCCCATACCTGGAATGCTCTATCTACCCATTGCTAACTTTTCAAGTCTATGTTATCTCACCTTCTCTCTGGTGACCCTTTTATATCTTAAATCTATTCTAAGCTTTGGCTTCCCTGAAGAGTATCACAAAATTCAGAATTTGTTGATCAATTGTTTATAACTTTTTGTCTCTCTTCCCCATATTGCCAACAAGTTTGAAAGCAAGGACAAAATCTTACACATGTTTGAATGCCAACACTGGCTGACTGACAAGAGTCATAGAATCATTTTGCTAGATTCTCTCAAGCCCTGACCGACCCTCACTACTTCCTATATACCTGGAACATAAGTTCTGTCTTCTGAAGTTCCTTTTCTTCATAACCTCAATACCTGATGTAGTTAAAAGAGGAAAGTTTACTTTACAATCATACACAAAAAAAGTTTTTATGATTGCATTATTGGAAACACTGTAAGAAAACAGTCTTTAATCAACTTGTCATGCTGCTTTCCTTTTATTATTTTCCATATAGCCTTACTTCCCTTGTCTTATATAATAAAAATATGTATATCATCAACTTCCTTATTCCGAACATCAATTGTTCTGAACATCTATTTGTGACCTCATATATAAGATTTGTATTTTGAGTTCTGGTCTGCAATGATGTCATGCTGTCTTCATTAATATCAAAATTATGTTTCTAGATATGATTATTTTAAATTGTTCACTTTTTTAAACATTCTATTTTCCAATTAATTGATAAAAGATGCCTTGGTCATTGATTATAGCAATAAGAAATAATGTAAGAGATTCTTATTCCTTTTAAAATTAGAACATTTTCTGAAAGGTGAACACTATTGATTCATTTTCTACAAAACACTGTTTCTCATCCATGTTGGAGTCAAGCAGAGTACCGAGTAATTATCTGATTATGTAGTCCCTTGGTTACATGTATCAGAGTTTCCAACTTCACGTGAGAATTAAATATTGATATGTGGTAACATTTCAATTTCTCAACTGAATTCTGCCTATAGAGATCTAAGTTATAAATCACTCCAGGTTGGAAAAGAAAATCCAGTTTTAATGTATTTCTTATATAATCAGAGTTTTCATATTTTTATCCACTGTCAAAACTGAAAACTTCAGTTTCTATTATTTTCACTCTTTGAGGCTTATACAACTTTGAGAGGATAAGGTTGTTCATTTACATTAGTTTCTGTTTTTATTCTTACTAATGAACATTTTGGTTGTCTTGTGAACATCAACAACTTAATTTTGTGCAAAGATTTTCTATTTTGGAATTTTTAAAAAGTTGTTTTAATCCAAGAAGCTAAAGAAAAGCCTGACACTATTAAGATGTATACAAAAATTATATTTTTAAAAAATGTCCTAAAATAAAGATTAGGTTGAGTATCACTAAGAAGTTCAGGATTTGCACTACAGTTTCCTTAGCAAGTCATAACAATTGTAAGCAATTAATATAATGGAATATAGTAAAAGGAAGTATAATGAACTATACAAAGCCAAATTATTTTACCGACATCTGACATCGGGGTCAAATGCTAAAAACATTTTCTTTGGCTGGGTGCAGTGGCTCACCCCTGTAATCCCAGCACTTTGTGAGGCCAATGTGGGCGACCACCTGAGCCCAGGAGTTTGAGACCAGCCTTGGCAACAAGGCAAAGCCCCATCTCTACTAAAAATACAAAAATTAGCCAGGCATGGTGGCATGCACCTGTGATCCCAGCTACTCAGGCGGGAGGACAGCTTAAACCCTGGAGGTCGAGGCTGCTGTGAGCTGTGATTGTGCCACTGCATTCCAGCCTGGGTGACAGAGTGAGACCTTGTCTCAAAGACAACCAACCAACCAAACAAACAAACAACATCAATATTTTTTATTTTGTGACCTATTACTTCAAATAGTTGCATTCTATTAAACTCCCGGACATGATGGTGAATATTCCTGCAACTAGCTTAGATAATAGGAAAAAAAAATTTCATTTTGACAAGATGGGGGTCCTAGGAGGAGTTGAGTAAGCACTTTCTCATGATCTCTAGACTATTCCTAATTCAATAATAACATAACATGGAGATTTGTCTTTTTAGTCACAGTTATAAGAGATTGTAGGGTGCAATTATTTAATCCATTGTTTGATTTATATCTGTATTCTAGGATGCTTTACTGTGTTAAGGCACTATCCCATCATTCTCTCACAAATAAAAAAGATGTTACCAGAAGTTCATGATTTTTGTTTTTTGTTTTTTTTTTTCACTTCTAACTTGTTACATCATTTATATCCTTCTATGATCTTTTTGGCACTGTTGAAAGAAACGTGTGAAACTCACTCAATGAAGTAGACTTCCCCCTTCTCTGTATAGGCCATTTCCCAGTTATCAGGCAATGGGTCTGGTTCCTCACTGTCTTCAGGTTTAGTTGGCTTTGTGTCATCCATCTGCTCCTTCAGCTCCTCAGGCTGACTGTACAGTGGTGCAGGATAAGGCTGGGAGGGCATCTCCCCTGAGGCACCTGCACTCTTGTCTTCATGTTCACTGGATTCTGTAAGAGAACAAGAGCATGTGGTTAGTCACTCCAGCCATGGTAACTCTGGACTGAGTATGGAGAATGCTGTACCAGGGAATAAACTCCATGAATAAACTCTATGAAGGCTAACAGGAAACATTTCTGAAAAAGCATAATGATCACTAGGCCTATTTGAGTTCTCCTTTCACTCCTCATTGTCATCTATCTTTCAGCTAATTATTGTTGTTTACAGAATTGGAGGTTTGAAGGATGTAATGTAAGGACCATTTCACAATACAGGTATGGTGAGCAGAATGGGCCCCTGAAGATGTTCATATCCTAATGCCTGGAATATGTGAATATTGCCTTACATGGCAAAAGATGATCTGCAGATGTGATTAAGAACCCTGAGATGGGGGGATTATCTTTGATTATCCAGATGGCCCCATCCGGATGATTATGATTAAATGTAATCACAAGGGTCCTTAAAAGTGAAAAAAGTAGGCAGAAAAGAAGGGTAAGAGGGAGAATTGACTACTGAATCATGGCCAAAGAGATGCAATGTTGCTGGCTTAGAAGACAGAAAAGGAGCATAAGCCAAGAAATATTGGTGGCCTCTAGAATCTTGAAAAGGCAAGGATATGGATTATTTCCTAGAGAATCCAGAAAGGAACACAGCTCTGCCAACAAGAAACACAGCTCTTCCATAGTTTCAGTTACCCACAGTCAACCAGGGTGCAAAAACAGATGATTACAGTACAGTAAGACAGTTTGAGAGAGAAAAAGACCACCTTCACATAACTTTCATAATAGTATATTGTTATGATTATTCTATTTTATTATTTGTTGTTAATCTCTTACTGCATCTGATTTATAAATTAAATTTTATCATAGTTTGTTTTGTTTTTTTTTTTGTAGTATATATAGGATTTGGTACCATTTGAGGTTTCAGGCATCCACTGGGGGTACTGGAGCACATCCCTCATAGCTAAGGGGAGCTACCATACAACAGAGCAAAAAATACCTTAAGAGAAATGATAACAGGCTTGGAGGACAGACCCAAGATCCCCAACATATAAGCAGTATGAGTTCCAGAATGAGAAGAAGGAACACACAAGGAAGAAATAATAAGTCAATAAACAATAGAAGAAAATTTATCTAAGATGAAGAAACACCAGTCTGCAGATTGAAACAGTTTACTGAATCTGAGGCCAGATTAATGAAACATGCAGACACTTGGATACATCTAGTTGAAATTTCCAAACTACAATATTAAAAGGCAACTTTAGCAGCTTCCATACTGAACAGATGTGATTACTTACAAAGAAAAGAGGAACAAAAGAGCATCAGACCTTTTATCTGAAATACTCTAAGCTCAAAGAGAGGGTAACATCTATAGTAACTTGAGAGAAAAAAAGGTACAATAATCCAAGAACTTAACTCTACCAAGATATTCATCTATCTGGGCAAAGATAGTCACTTTTGAACATGCAAAAGTTCTGAATGTATACTCTCCAAGTATCTTATCTGAGGGCAAAATTTGAAAAATTACTCTAACCATATCATGATGATTGAATCAGAGCAGAAATCTCAACATATGGGGAGAAAATAAAAGGTACGAAGATGATATGGTTTGGCTGTGTCCCCATCCAAAATCTCATCTTGAATTGTAATCCCCACATGTCAAGGGCAGAACCAGGTGGAGGTAATTGGATCATGGGGAAGGTTTCCCCCATGCTGTTCTCATGGTAGTGAGTGAGTCTCACGAGATCTGACGGTTTTGTAAGTGTCTGGCATTTCCCCTACTCCATCCTGCCATTCTGTGAAGAAGGTGCCTGCTTCTCCTTTACCTTCCACCAGGATTGTAAGTTTCCTGAGGCCTCCCCAGCCATGTGGAACTGTAAGTCAATTAAACCTCATTCCTTTATAAATTACCCAGTCTCAGGCATTTCTTCATAGCAGTGTGAGGATTAACTAATACAGAAGAAGTAAATCCTGGATAATACAGTTAAATGTAAATGGAAGATGATCACATTTCTGAAAATTTATCATATGTGTTAAAGACAGATTATAGAAAGAAGAAAAATACATGAAGACCTAATAAGACCATGGGTTTCAAACTTTATCTCAGGAAAGCTCAGGTTCTAGAAAGTGAAGAAAAGGTAGGAAAATAGAGACATTCTAAAGCTCTCATCAGTAGGCACTTCAGAGAGTGAGTATATGAGATAATTTTAAAGACTCATCCCTTTTCATGGGATGAGATTATTGGGCAAATAATTTGGTCAAAGTGTAGGCTTAATTGTATAGGGGATATTTTTAAAATATCTCCTAATGTGTATGTTTACTGAGCTATTCATGGATTTATTTCCCCCCCCCCATTTAGTTTTTCTGCTGTTAAGGACAAACCGTGAGTCTTATTTGTTGGGGAAGAGTAGAGCAGGTACCATCGAGAGAAAGTAATATCATTAGGGTAAAAGAAGAAGTTCCTTAACTCAGAAACTAAAAGGAGAGCACTACTGAGATTCAGAGGGGCTGAAATGTAGTAAGAGGTAATGTGAGGATAAGGCAGCCATCTTGGAAATATAAAAATTCTGCAATTGTTTGGGAACATAATGCCCATTAAAATAAAAAAATACAAATACACACAGACTTTGAGTTATCCTACTTTGAGAACATATCCTCTAGAAATAAAGGCAGTATTATATAACTATGCCTATATAATACTATTTTTGCAATATTGTTTGTAGCAGTAAAACCCTGGAAATGATATAAATGCCTATCAATGAAAATATAATTAAATAAATAAATAGTTTGTCATTACCATGGAAACCTATGTAGTTTAAAACCAATGAATATCTATTGACCTTGAAAGGTGCTTATAATTGTTATTTGAAGAGTAATCTAAGTTGCAGAGAAATGTACAATATTAATTCTATTTTTCTAAATAAGCAAATATTAAGGCATCTAAGTGATATACAGTTATATGTCTGTATAAGCATGTATATAGACTGCAAGGATGTATAACAGATTGTCAGCTTTGATTAACTCAGGATAGTAAATTTGGATGGGGGTGGGAGAAGCTTCTTTTACATATCTTCTTTGCATATGCCTTCATTGGGTATCTATTGTTTTCATAACTTCAAAAGTTAATAGATTATTTAAATGAGTAAATTAGAATATCATCTTGGTGTCACTATTAATTGCATGGGCCAATTTTTCCCCCCTCTGCATCAATCTAGGAGAGCAATATTGAAGTACCTATTAGAAATTAGAAAACATAAGAACACTTTACAAGTTTTCACTGTGTTGCCCTTAAAAAGGGAATTAAGAATATAATATGGCCCTTAATGATATAGTCTCCTAGCTGATTCCTTACATAGATTTGACCTTTGTAAATTTTATAGAATAAAAGCAGCAAAAATAGGTACCACTGCTATCTTCAGATTCTCTTTTCTGTGGCATGTTTCAACATGTAATTATACATACTGCGGTATGTACATGGAACATACAAAACGTCATGCTGCACTGAAAAGTTCAAATGCAAGGTCATGCTCTGAACATATTCAGTTATTCAATATTCAGTTAATCAATATTTATTGTGCACTCAACTGGTGTCAGGCACTGAGGACAGAAGAGTGAACAAGAGATACATTGATCCTTTCTCTCATGGAACTCCAAATATGCTAAGATGTATAGTCTTTATACAGTAATTTTAAGTGTTATGAGTGCTTCCTAAGGAATCTTATGTATACGGGATCTTCTATATGTATAGTCATATAATCTCATATAAAGAGTCAGGGAAAACCTCTTTTTCAATGTGCTATGAGATCTGAGGGTTCTTTCAGAAGAAGGTAAGGGAGAAATAAATATAAGACGGCTGGATTAGGTGAGGCCCTATCAGGCATGCTCAGGATTTGGAAATGTGTCCTGAGAGCAAAGATACTGCTACGTTCTACTGAAGTAGATGACAAAATTAGATTTTCATTTCCCACAAATATCTCCTTAACTATTCCGGGGATTTGAGGGTGGCAAGAATAGATATTTATAGAGCAGTGGAAAGTTATTTTTGTGCTCTCAAAAAGTAATGATGGTGGCATGGAGATGGAAATAAGTGGATGAAAAAATATTTAGAGGGTAGATTTTATAACCTGACATGGTGGGTGGCAAGGCTATTCACTGAGATTGGAAACAGGGAAGGGGGAGCAGGATTCTGTGGGGTAGGGGCAGTCTATACATATGGTTTTGGGCACACTGAGTTAGAGGTTCATGGAGATGTCAAGTCAGAGAGTTCTTAGCTGGAAAAAAAATAAACCTGAAAGACAACAGCATATGGCTGGATGGTACTACAATTTTAGCCACGAGTAAATGAAATTGCCAAGAGACAGTGTGAGAAGTGGAAACAAGAATCTGGAGCAGCTCTCTGAGGAACTTCAACATTTAAGTCACTGAAAGAACGGACTGGTAAAAGGAGAAGAGGAAAGGGCAGCCATGGAAGCAATGAGAAAATTGAAAAACCTTCATGTTGCAAAAGTCAAGCAAAGGGTGTTGAAGACAAGACACTTAATTGTTGCAAAAGCTTCTGCACAGTCCAGCAAGACAAGGACATAAAATCTACAGAACTGAATGATGTGCAGATCACTGGTGACACTGGCTGCCAGCTATGGCAGCCTTTACAGTGGAGTGGTTGGTGAAGCCAGATTGGAATAGGTCAAAAAATGAATGAAAAGAAAATATAGAATTATCCTGACAGAGATCAAGACCATCCTGGCTAACACGGTGAAACCCCATCTCTACTAAAAATACAAAAAATTAGCCGGGTGCAGCTGCGGGCGCCTGTAGTCCAAGCTACACGGGAGGCTGAGGCAGGAGAATGGTGTGAACCCGGGAGGCAGAGCTTGCAGTGAGTGGAGATCGTGCCACTGCACTCCAGCCTGGGCAACAGAGCGAGACTCTGTCTCAAAAAAAAAAAAAAGAATTATCCTGACAAAGCAGTCATTCAAGAAGCTTGGCTATGAACAAATGAACTTTCCTTCCAC